AATCAGGTCGGGCCGGAAGACCTCTTTTGCAGCTAACTCCACCTCACGGGCCTTAGCGATTTCGGCATCAAAGTAACTAACACCCGCTTTGGCCTCTTCCAAGGTTTTTCTCCTCATGTTGTACATAGCATACATCTTTTCCACAATGAGGTAAGTCGCTCGGCACTGAAGTTCTTTAAGCTAGCCGATCTCAGCAGAGAGGTTGTCTGGCACGAATCTCATTTATCAGAGGCTGGCATATAAATCACGAACAGTGGAGCTATAAATTTTGTTATGCTCAAAGGTCTTCTTATGCTTCTCCTCTAACCGGGCTTGTTTTCCCCAGCAACAGCAAATTCTTCAACTTTGGAGTTTAAGGCTGCCTCCAAGTTATTCAATATTTTAGTAGAGGCAGCCTCACGATCAATGCATAAAGGACGGCATTATGGACTTCAACTTATTTTGCCTTAGTTTCTTCAAATTATGCCCTTAATGGGACAACCTCTTGGCTAAGGGTCACTACTTCTTGCTCGTGTTTCTACAATCGAGCCTCCAATTCCACGGTCACAATAGTATGTGCTTCCAGTTCTGAGAGGCGAGCAACAGTCTGATCTTGCTCAACCAAAAGTTGATCCCGCTAAGAAGTAAGTACCTCCTTATCACGAATCAGCCTTCAAAGGCCCTCGAAAGCAAGGAAGTTGGCCTGGAAAATGAAAAATATGAGTTCAAAATCCTACTATGTCAAAGATAAAAGAAAAAATAGAGGAAACGAAGAATATACTTTCGTTGCGTTATGCATGGCATTGTTTAACAAACACTCTCCCGAGAGGGTTTGTATTCTTTTCCAATCTTTCTCTGAAGCCAAGGGCTTCAGATAGTTAGCAAGTTCCACCAGACCGGACAATAGATTGCATCCGGTAGAGACCGAGAGAGTAATGCTCCTCTTCCTTTGAGGATCTTCTGAAGGGGCAACATAATTTTTCCTCGGGTTCTCACGAACTAGGGACTGGGAGAGAGAGACATCCTTCTCTCGGGCAGTTGCGGTCGGCGGAGATGATGTAGCAGTTGCTGGTGGAAATGGCAGAATTGGAGAAGAGGGGGATGAAGCAGATGGTATTGTAGGGTGAGAAGCAGTTGCTGCAAGTGCAGTGCTGGTTGTTGGCTTCTCGTCAACCGAAGACAGAAGGGGGCCGCTGTTCAGCCTTATAGTACCGGACGCACCAGCTGGGACTCGGAAGCATGAGTTGGCAAATTCCACCATATCAAACTCCCGCGATAGTGTCGAGGCATCGTCCTTGGTTGGTGTAGCTAACTCAACAGATTGTGCATGTTGTTTAGCTGATAAAGGTCATTGTCTTCTATGTAGTGAAGCCACATCATCACTGGCTTCTCCGTCATCGATCACCATGATTTCTAGGACTAGCTCGGGCATGACTCTCATCTCCAAAACATCCGTGGATGGCTCAGGCACAACGTTCTTTGCCTTTTTATTTTTTCTCCCGGCCGTGAATGAATGTCTCTTTTTTTGTTGTTTGTTCTCCGGCTGGGGACTCCGAGAAGAAGCACTTGCCCCAAAAGCAGACCCGGAGATACTTGCTCGATTAAATGCCTCATGCAGCAGCCTCGTCGCATCAGTAGGACCAGCCAAAATGTCATCCTCGGGGACGACGGCTGAGCCCTGGGGTAGACCTAGATTCAACAAAGGAAAAAGGGTTAAACAACTTTCTTATACGAAAGGGAAAATTGAGATGAGTTTAACTTACCATGACTTTTGGCCTTCCACCCGTATTTGATAGCTAATTCCTTCCACGTACGGGTCTCTGGCATTGTAACTTCCAAAATCTTTTAGACCCACTGGTCCAAGTCTTCAACCTGCGGTGGAACCCACCGAGTTGCTGAAACAAGTAAAAGAAAAGGAATCAGTAATTGTAAGGGATGATCTTTAACTAGAAGAAGAGACAAACGATAAACTTACGAGCACGATTCCACAACTCCGGAAAGGATAAAGTCGTGGCCGGAATGGTGTCCCTGGTGGAAACTGCAGCGAATTGTTCCATCCATCCACGATCATTGTCATCATCCATGTTGGCCAGTAGGGCATGGTGGCCACGTTTGCTGAAGTTTATCATTCCCCCGCGAAAAATCTTGGAGGAATAAAGATTCATTAACCTAGCCAGGGTTAGATCTCTTCTCCCATCTCCTAGCACAAACGCCGAATATAAGTGATTGTTCTCCACACAGAAGGACTTACTTGTGTCATGCATACCTGGTAGCGGATGCAGAACTCCACAATGACGAAGTCAAGCTCTCCAATCAAAGAGAACGACCCCAAAGTGAAGGGGTACGTATAAAAATATGTAAAACCCTTCTTGGGTAGGGTTATCCGCTCCGCCAGATTAGGGGCGACAATATCTAAATCTTGGCAATAGAAGTCTCCCTTCATAGCAAGAATACTGGAAGGACAGATGGAAGAAGGTTATATGCTGACGGCCCACGTACGAGGGTGAGCGGAAGGATACTCCTCTTCGAAGTCCTTAGTGGTGATAAGACTCTTTGGGATGATGATGCTCACCATAGGAGGAGCAGCTTCATCAGCTTTACCTTTGTTTTTTGAGGAACTAGGGTTTCTGAAAGAAGAGGCCATTTTTTATCAGAATATAAGGAAATTTTTCTCTCAGGAAGATGGTTAAAGAAAGGTTGAAGACAAAGTACGCTATGAGTAAAGAGAGTTTGAGAAAGGTTGAAGAATTATGAAGTGTAAATGAAGAAGTTTTGATACGTATAAGTAAAGGAATAGGCAGCTAAAATCGTGACCATAATTACCTCGATAATCGGCAAAAGTGATGATGAATCGTGGAATGACGCGTGTTCGGGGCATTAAATGCGGAGAGACGTGCGTCTAATCAACCGTCAGAGAACTTTTCAGAGGGGATCAGAGAATTTTCCGCCAAGAAAGGTATCTCTACCAACTTCCCGGTGACATAAAGTTATGCCACCGAAAAGCAGGGGGACTATCTGTAGGGGGTAAAATATGTTCATATTTAATGATAGCATGAGAAGGCGACACGTAGAGCCGAAGACAGAACACAGTCGAACCCGAAGGCAATGATCTCGTTTGTTATTGGAGAAGATGATACTCATAAAGACAAAATAAATATTTACGGCAGCATTCAATGAAGACTATTCTATAGCATTAAGTGCATGATCCGTTACAGAGAATATGAAATTCGTTGCCCACCGTTACACATTCTTCAATGTCCCTCATAATTGTCATTTAAGAAGGGCTTGATTTTAGGACCTTGTTCCCTAGGCGTAGTTATAAATAGTGAGCTCTATTATCATTGTAAGGATACGAATTTTCTGATAAGCATTTACTATACTCTATCAAAAGCTCAATAACGTTTTACTTTCTTGCTTATTAAAATTGTTCTTAATGTCTCCGGTAGCTCTGCGCCGGGGACAAAGATATATATCGGTTATTTCAATTTCAAGGCTAAGTCTTACATTTTTTATCTAATTCATCTATTGATTTTGGATCAAATCGATTCACTTGTCTATAAACTACGTATAAATTCAATTGTACCATTTTACGGGTAAACTTGACAAATTTGTATTTTTCCATAAAAATGTTCCAAAACAATGTCTAATTTTCTACCTTTCCAATCCTTTATTTCGTAAATTTTCCTAAACAAAAAAAAAAAACATAAGAGGCTTTTCTTTATCTAAAAGTGCTTATTCGACTTTACATTGGGCATATGTATGTCTGAAACCACTAAGTTAGTGTTTAGCCTATTGCCAAATTTATTTTAAAATTTTTTTATTTTGGTGAAATCTGGTTTGAAGATGAAAATTTATTTTGACATAAATTTTTAAAACCTATTTCACTTTTTCTTTTGAAAAATATGAAATGTGACTTATACCCATAAGTTGTAAAAATTATCAAAAATACCCAATAATATCAAACAAACAAATTTGCTAATCATGTATATGCAGAACTTTCGTCGATGCCACTCATTATCATTATCACAAACCATAGTCCTGAACATAGATAAGTTTGGCACAAAATTATTATTTTTATAATGAAGATATTTTAATATCAACTGCTAATAACACAACTATTAGCTACTATAATTCATCAAATTGCAATAATACACAAGATCCATCAGTCCAAAAGAAAATTATAGTAATTAGTTGGTGGATTAGTTTGGTCATAATAGATGGTGGGATAAAATATAAAAGTTTGGAATAATTTTTGAAATTATTAAAAAATTCAACAGTTATATTTTGGGCCAAAAATAGGTTTAAAGCTAGTTTCGGGACATGGATAAAATCTACAAACAAATATATTTTGCCAAAACAGTTTTGAAAAAATCTTGGTAATATCTATAGCCAAACGGGGTAAATCTGTGGTTCTGCTCATGGAGCGTAAAGAAGGGAGCAGAACCAAATTGTCCTTCGGTGGGAACCCACTTTGCAATAATAGAGTAGAATATAATAATTCTTCTATCCTAATTTATGTGACCGCGTTTAATGGGTCACAAATTTAAAAAAGATAAAAAAAAATTTAAATTTGTGATCTAAAATAAGTCATAGATATTTGTATGGCTAAAAATAATATAGTTACAAATAAAATGAGTATTTTAAAATTAAATTATTATTAAATATAAAAATGTATTACTTTTGGGATTGACCAAAAGAAAAGTAATTGGGACGGGGGAGTAGCAGTAATATACTCCCTCATTTCATTCTTAGCGTGTCTTTAACTGCCACAAAATTTAAGAAGGTAAAAGAAAAATATTTGAATTTTGTATTTTTAATGTAAAAATATGTAAAATGTACAAAAAATATTTTTAAGATTTTAAATATATTATGTTATCATATTAGAGAGTGTTATTAGGAGCACATGAATATATTAAATTAAAATTTTACTAAATAAAGAAGATTATATTTTGTTGAAACAGACTACATAAAAAAAAATTATATTTTCTCGAAACGGACCTAAAAAATAAAGATAGTAAGTAGGAAATTTCCTGGATTGGCGCTGTTTCTGTTCCAATAGAACTTCCACACCAAGAGTCAAGCAAAGCAAAGACTCCAAACTCCAAAGTCAATGCGTCGTTGCCTCGACATTTCATTCATCAAAAGCTTAAAACCCCATTTTTCCTTAGCTTCATTTCACCACAATCATCAATCTTTCTTCAAGATTCTTGATCACCAAACGGAAAATTAAATTTCCCATCTTTGAGCTGCTAAGTAGCAAAAATGGTGAGAATTGAAGAGGGCAGAGAAGTCAAAGATGAGCTGATCAAGAAAGCTTGTAAGTTAGCAATGGAAGCTCACAGTTTGTCTTCTGGGAAGCCTTATATTTACAAGAAAAAAAGTGGGTCGATGGATATTTTTTTTGCTTTTGCTGGAACTTGGTCTGTTGATGGTTGGTACAGTAGCACTTCTTTTGGAGAGACAAAGATTAAAATTGCTTTGTTTCCATCTTTGAAAAGTGTTGGCACAGATGAGGTAGCTATGGTGAATGAAGCATTTTCCAGCAGATTTGAAGACATATTAAACAAATCTTCTCTTAAAAATGAGGTACTGGGTTTGACAATCTTGTTCCTTTTTTCCTCTTTTGGGTGGTAGTTTGTTTTTCGTTTTCTCCTTAGATGCTGTTAGATAAAACAGATGATTAATAAGTGTTTAACTTCCGTAGTTGATAATATCAAATTAAGGTGACTTGAAACACACTCAACTGCGTATAGAGTAAGCCTAATTCGGCAAGTTATTTAGACAGTAAAGTAAATAACATGTCATTAACAATTTAGAATACATAGACACTGCTAAAATATTTTGCACTGCCAGTGTATATAGGTTAATTAGTTATTTTACACTGCGAAAAAAGATTCAATTTTTATTATGGGGTTGGGGTTGTGAAGGGAGGGACTGTTCCAGAAGGGGAAAGGAAGAACCTCAAGTGTATATATGATAGCACTGGAAATGGACACGTTCAATTGATTATACTAGCACATAGAGGAGATTGAATATTGTCTCCCTTCTTTTTAGGCAACGGTTTTCACAGCTAAGTGCTATGTTACTCGAACTCTTCAAAAATGATGTTGGTTGCGTGTCGGATCCTCCAAATTTAGTGCATTTTTGGAGGACCCAACACGGGTGCGGCAACACTTTTGGAGAGTCCGAGCACATAGGCCGAGCGTATTCCTGTAAAACAAAAAATCATATTCCGAACAATCTTTGAGTAAAGAATTATATTTTTAATTCCTCTTCTTTTAAATATACGTTCTAGCTAGACCTGATGTGAATATTAGTTTTATGCCTCGGCGATGCAATCTTTATGCAGTGGGTTCAACTAAACTCAATCAGTGTTATCAAACGCGAAAAGCGCAAAAAAGCTCTAAGGTCCATTGGGGCTTTAAGCGCAAAGCGCAAATAAAATGTGGGCTTTTATATAAAAAGACGCAACTGGAGAAAAAGTAAAAATAAGTATATGTAGTGCAAGACCAATAATTATAAGCATAAATAATAAATATACGGACAAAGAAATTGGAAAAAGAATATGATAAAGTGAAATATCAATTGTTTAGTGTCGCCTTTTCAGGATCACACTCATTGGCAAGGAAAAGTATGTCTTAAAGCCTTGATGCGACACTGAAGCGCTCACAAAGCGAGGCGAAGTGCTCAACATGTTTTGAGCCTCGCTTCAGGGATTAAGCGTGCCTTTGACAACACCGAACTCAATATTTTTGACACTGAACATATATATGTGAAAAACCGCTAATATTTCAATAATCATTATAATTTCAGAAGAACAATGAATTCAGCATAAGAACCTTAAAAGTTTAATCCATTATGCATTTGCTCATGGGACCAGCTTTGTCAATTTCTGCAATGGGAGCCTGAGAGGGTTATCTCAGCGTCAAGAGCATTAGACATTCCACTCCTAACAGTTTAATGCTGATCTAGCCAACTTTAGTTTGATCAGCTTAATTCCTCTTTAGTAGCTCTTAGTTATCCTTCAAGATGATTCCTCTTTAGACTAGGTTAACAAAGATTAACCTTCATAGCTTCATCTTTAATTTGGAAACTGAATGTTGATTCATGGGAACTGTTCGTTTTAGGTGGAGAAGGCGATGTCAGATGGAAAACAGATAGTGTTTGCAGGGCACTCGTCAGGTGGCCCTATTGCTATTTTGGCAGCCCTATGGTGTCTGGAACATTGTCGCAAAAGACCAAATGACAACCTAGTTTATCCATACTGTATAACATTTGGATCCCCTCTTGTTGGTGACAGAATATGGTCTCATGCCCTCAGGCGTGAAAACTGGGCTCGTTACTTCATACATTTTGTCATGAAGTATGATATCGTTCCTCGGATGATGCTTGCTCCCCTTTCATCGTTTCAAGAATGGCTTCAAGCAATCTTTGCCTTCATCAATCCAAAATCCCCGTATTATCAGCACGAGGCAAATGTAAGATCGAGTGATGCATCGAAAAATTTCTTTATGACTGTAATGAGGAGTGCATCCTCTGTTGCAAGCTATGTTGCATGTAATCTGAAGGGATGTACAAACTTGTTGTTAGAAGCTGTTTCTAACATTGTTCAACTCAGCCCTTATAGGCCTTTTGGAACTTACATCTTCTGCACTGGAAATGGGAAACTGGTGGTCATTGAGAATCCAGATGCTGTTCTGCAGTTACTATTCTATTGTGCTCAAATGAGTTCCGAAACAGAAGGTGAAGTAGTTGTTGCCAGAAGCTTAAACGAACATTTGTTATATAGAAACGAAATGCAGGAGAGCTTAGAGATGCAAGATGTGGTTCATCTCAAGAATCTTACTGATATTCCCTTGTCTTCAATTGCCATTGCATTAGCTAGTGATGAAGTGGTAACTATGAATTCAGCCCTGAATGACTTAGGCCTGGTAAGTGATAAATGTGTTTGCTCTTTGTGCTGATTTTCACATTTAGCTCAAACTAACGGGTTTTTTTCACGTTACAGAGTACAAGAGCAAGGTTGTGTCTTCGTGCAGCAGGAGAATGGGAGAAGCAGAAAAGGAAGAACGAGGAAAAGATTGATGGTAAAAAGAAAAGCACCAAGGAACTATTAAGCAAGATACAGGAGTACCAGACCAAGTGTGATATTCAGAAAGTCGGGTATTATGATGCGTTCAAGCTTCAAGAAACCATAGATGACTTCAATGCTAATGTGAAAAGGCTCGAGCTAGCAGGAATATGGGACGAAATCATTGAAATGTTGAAAAGGTATGAGCTCCCAGATAGTTTTGAGGGACGAAAGGAATGGATACAACTAGGGACACAGTTCCGCGGGCAAGTTGAGCCCTTGGATATTGCAAACTATTACAGGCACTTGAAGAATGAAGATACAGGACCTTACATGATCAGGGCTAGGCCGAAGCGTTACAGGTTCACACAACGATGGCTGGAGCATGCTGAGAGGGTGCAAACAGGTGAACGCTCCGAGTCTTGTTTTTGGGCAGAAGTGGAGGAACTAAGAAACAAGCCATTTATGGAAGTGCAAAACAGGATTTTGAGTTTAGAAACAAACGCACGGGGTTGGTTCCAGAGTGGCCTTCTGGGCAATGATGTATTCTTCCCTGAGTCTACCTTTACCAAATGGTGGAAAACACTCCCTACTCAGCACAGACTGACATCTTGGATATCTGGGCAAATAAATTCTTAGCGTCTTTTACAGCTCCATATTATGCCAGCGCCCTAATGTTTGATAGTGATGGTGTCCAAGCCAGCTTGCTGGCATCTCGAAGATTCCACCGTAGTCCAAAGTCCTAATAAGAGAAGCCAGATGGTGTATAAGTGAAAATGTCTGGATAGACTGGAAACTCCACATTACTTCAATAAGAGCAACTGTATGGTATCTTAGCGCAGATAACTGATAATGTCTCAATGTTCCTAGGAACTGCTTTACTTGTATGTAGAGCTGTCACTATGGGCAGGGCCGGGTTAACCCAGCCAAGCCCACATGGGCTTTAACAATTGGCGGGCTGGGCTGGGCTAGCCCACCATTTTGATAGATCTTATAATGGTCAGCCCACCCAGCCCTATGTGGGTCTGAGCCCCACGGGCCGGCCCATTATTTTTTAAAATATAATTCTATATTTTTTCTTTAAGTACTAACCTTAAAAAAAGATAAATATTTAAAAGTTAAAAAATATCTTATTGAAAAAATTTCGCAAAACTTAATAACTTTTTATATTGTTTCAATATATTAAAATAAACACTAAAAAAAGTAAAAGACAGACTATATTTCATTCACTAAAAGTCAAAACTCAAAACAAACTATTAAAGAAAACGTCCACGATACTTATAGGATATCCAACACATTATCTTCATCAAACACATTTGAATCTGCTCGTGACAAAGTTGCATTGACATCTTCACTTTCATTTGCATCTACAATTCATATGCAATATTAATTAGTTAAATATTAAGAATAATTAAATTTTAAAAACAAATAATATTAAAATTCACATAAAAATAAAAGTTACCAATTTGAGTTTGGGAAAAGACGTGAAGCTAATTTGAGTGTTTGGACATTTTCATGATGGATGCAACTTCTGTACTTGGTAAGAACACGCCCATCAATGTTAAATGATGATTATGATGCTACAGTGCGATATACTTTTTATATTTTAAGTAAATATTTTTACTAGGCCCACGGGCCGGCCCAGCCCAACCTCATTCAAGCCTCAAGGGCAACGAGCTTTCTCGGGACGGGCTTAAAAGTCTCGTTTTTAAATGGGTTTCAAAAATTATAACATACCCTATTAAATCACGGGCTGAGCTGGGCTGCCCAAACAGACTAAGCCCATATTGACGGCTCTACTTGTATGCTAGAATAGTAGCAAGTATACCAACATTCAAGTATTCAAGGTGGGATACTACATGGCTCTACTTGTATGCTAGAATAGTAGCAAGTATACCAACATTCAAGTATTCAAGGTGGGATACTACATGCTCACGTTTTTCCTTAAATTAACCACGAACAAAACTTGGATTATACAACATTTAATAGGAAGAAATATGAACATAATACCGGCAGAAGGCCAAGGTCTAGATGTCAAAATATTAAAGCCACTCGTTGTTAGAAGCCATATGATTGTTCCCATTACATAATCCTTCTAGCAAAAAAGGATTCCACAGCCATCCCATCATGAGGGGAAAGAAGCAAACAAGTTCAACCAAAACCAGCATTTTCAATATATCTATGTAAAAACTACTAAAATTTTGAGAAATATTAAACTTTGTGCATAATAATTGCTTGGAAGGAAGGTCTCAGTGACCTTCTGCATGTATGAGATTCTTTTTCCTCTATCTATGTTGTACTTGAGATTCACTGACAGCCAATTCCATACACAAATTTGAAAAACATAACCTAATGGAACTCGTGAACATCACAATAATGTGTAAATCACACAGAACCAAACTTTTATGACATGGGAAACATGCAAAGATCTCATTTGTTTACCCCTGGAACAAACAAGAGCCTCTAAAAGAATAGAAGTACTTCAAGAACAGCAAGGAGATGATCAACCATAGCACAAAGTCTTCTTCTCCATGGAAAACCAATCGACTTGTACAAGGGAAAAAGGAGCAACACCACATAATTAATGCAACTTCTTTAAAAACAATTGGCACACTAGCATAATTCCGTTAACATCCAGTAAGCAGACGGTAGAAATAAAGCTAAGAAAAGTTTGAGATCTTGAATAGAAGCATTACATGTAAAAATGTCAGCTTTCAACAAAACTAACCATATTGAAGAACTTGATACCAACCTTTACCAGCTTGAGAGAGGGGAAGGGAAGCAAAGCAAGGTATAGGACATTTTTCAACATACTTCTAAATGACAGCCCCCACCACCCAAAGAATGATCCCATTTAACAGGTTTAAAAAACTATTGAATGCACAATCTGAATCCAACGGCACTATAATCCAAATGTCCAGCAAGCACACAAGTAATGCGCACTTTGAATATAGAACTGTCAGGGAATGCAACAGCGATGACAAAAATAAGAACGTCAAATATACAGATGATCAATGTAAACTCAACAAGACTACTTCACTTCAAAAAAACCCCACTTTAAGGTGACTCCAAAAAAGCACAAGAATTTTAGCAAGTCACATGAGAATCTAAATATCTATCACCAAAATTCACTTCCTTATTACCTTAAGGTAGAGCATTAATACATAGCTTGTGGAAAAAACTTTATCAATACTTAGCTGCTGCACTACAAGCCCATAATGTGGTGGGGATGCATTTTGTGGTTCAATCCCAAATTGAATTAAAGAGATAAGTGAAAGCAACAGACCAGTTAACAAATATAGGTTGCTCATTTACTCAGATTCATCACAAGCAGTCAAGATGAAGAGCAGCAAAAATATTTAAAAAGAGAAGATATTCATGCAAAGTTTGATGTCCAATTGTTTGCACTTTTTTATTCATGGTAATCTGATAGAAGGTGACAAAGTGCGCAATGAGCTTTGTATCATCAAATTCAATCTACCTAACTTTAATCCAGCTTATCTATTCACAAAACGAGTATTCTACATCCGCACAAGCACCATATTACAATTAGCAAAATTATAAGAGAACCATAACAGTTCCCCCGTGCTTTCAGAATCTCGGTCCTATATCAACATCTAATGCTAAGAAAAATCTGAGTCTAACAAAGTCAAGCCACACGGAGAAAGAGGACGACACATACACATTCACAGAAAACAGAATGTTCCTACGACCTTGATATCATGCTACAAGAACAAGTCGGTCGAAATGTCAGACTGCCTGCATCTTAGGTTGTCTCTCCCTCAAGCATGTTTATACTGCTTCCTGCAACCTGGACACCGCCCATCCTCCTCAAGAATCCTCTTGTGACAAAAGAGACAAAGCCTAAACCCGCAAGGACAAGGAAGAAAGCTTGTGTCTGTAAGATCCAAATCCTCACAGCATATAGGACATGATGTGGGTATTGATAAACTTTTACATCCCCATACAGAGCCTCCCCGGTAATGCCGCCCCAAATTCATAGGGAAAGTATACTGTTTCGATAAATTCGGAAGACTTTGTGGACGGAATGCATCATCAGGCCTCCACGCTCGAAAGCTGACCGGAGATCTAGGTTCCCTGGGCTTCTGCTTTGACATATCCAGCCCCGATTCATGCCGATCAGGATCTTTTGGAGAACTCATATGCACCACATTCTCATCCCTCTCTGGAGCTGAATCCAAGCTAGAGCTAAGCTGCTGCTGCTTCTTATCAGTGGCAGCTAAAGCATCAGCAACAGCTTCCCAATCATCCAAGCAGCCATCGTCCCCTTCATTATCTTCCTCACTCATACTCTCAGAACAACACCCGCCAGTGCTACTACTGCTGCTGCCACCTGTGAAATTGGTCCCGGAATCATTCCTTTCCAACAAGCTACTAGTGTCGCTGGTGGGGCTATTAGAAAGCGAGTCAAAATCACTGTAGTTGTTTGTGCAACCTCCATTCTCTTCTTCTTCTTCTTCTTCTCCTCTGGGCTTTATCACTAACTTCTCCATCAATCGGCCCCTCTCATTAGCAACGTGCATCCCCTGGCCAGGAGCCCCTCCCCCACCATTCAATTCCTCATTGGAGCCTTTATTCTTCACTACACAAGCCCAATCACCAAGAATTAAGGCACATACAAATAGGAAAACAACATAATTAATACTCCCTCCATCCCAATTTATATGACCATGTTTGACTAATCATGGAGTTTAAAAATGAAAGAAAGAAAGGCTTGAAACATGAGGTCTAAAATAAGTCATAGACAATTGTGTGGCTACAAATTATCTCATTAAGGGTAACCATGGAAGTCTAAAGCTAAATAGTTTCAAATATATAAATGTATCATCTTTTTGTGACAGACTAAAAAGGAGAGAGTATTGATCAAATATTCACCAAAAGCACAGACGTATTCAAAGATGTCAACTTTAATGGATGTGAAATACCTCTGTACCCAACGTTACATTTGATCTGAGTAGATTTAATATATATATA